TTAATAAACATAAACACAAATACAAACCAGACACTGAAAGCTGAGGTTGTTCTGAAAAAAGGAGCAGAGTTACAAACATTTTACACTTTTATTACAATTTTAAATCCATTAAAAAAACAGTTATATTTATGGTCATAAGAGGGTTAACCATGATAAATGTTCCACCTCCCACAAAGAGATGGTAAAAGTGAATGTGAGCATAATTATATACGTTTATTACTTTATTATGTATTTTTTATTATTGACTATTACTCCATAGAGTTCAGATGAAGGCAACTGGACTTCTTTGGTTTCTTTAAAACATTTCACTTCTCCTCTGAGGAGCTTTGTCAGTTCTAACTGGAATATGGGAGTGTCAAGCTCATAAGCTGTAGCTGTCTGTTGTTATTTAAAGAGCAGAAACTACTCTGAGTACCCCACCTCTCCATCTCCTGATGAGTCGTTAGCCTCTATTGATGGTGAGTCATCGTGTTGATTAGATGCAGGAAGGTGTGACCTAGACTGAAACTGAATGAGATTTAAAAAAAAAGTTCTCACTTTTATACAACGCTGTTGGTCCTTTTCGTCCTTGTTCTGGTTTTCTAAAACCCTGTGTTAAAAACCTTGGTGTGTTTTTAGATGGTTCTTTTAATCTTTACAGACAGGTGAGTGCAGTGGTCCAATAAGGTTTTTATCGTTTAAGGCAGATAGCAACGGTGAAGCCATACCTTCCTGCCAATGTCCTCGAACATGTCATCCACCTGTTCGTGTCTTGCCGATTGGACTACTGCAACTCCCTGTATTCTGGCCTGGACCAGTCCTCCCCACACCGACTTCAGCTGGTCCAAAATGCAGCGGCTCGCTTGCTGACTGGAACCAGCAAGTGGGATCACATAACCCCGGTTCTGACCTCTCTCCATTGGCTTCCTGTCTCTTACAGGATCCGTTTCAAAATTTTACTTTTTGTTTTTAAATCCCTTCATGGCCTGGCCCCAGTTTACATCTCTGAGCTGCTGTCCGCTTACGTCCCTGCCAGAACCATGAGGTCCAGCTCTCAAGCTCTTTCAACAGTTCCAAAAACCTGCCACAAGACTCGCGGCGACAGAGCGTTCTCTGTGGTTGGGCCCAAACTGTGGAACAAGCTACCTCTCAACATCAGGACCACACAGAATCTAGAGCATTTTAAATCCCTTTTAAGACGCAATTTTTTGATTTGGCTTTTAATGCAGGTTGACTTGAGCATCTTAATAGTTTTTAACAGTTTTTATCATAGATTGTGACTGTTGTGTGCTCATCTTATTTTAGGTTTTTATTGTTGATCTGTTGTATCTTGATTTGTTTTACCTTGTACAGCGCTTTGGTGTAGCTTTGCTGCTATAAATGTGCTCTGTAAGTAAAATTGACCTTGACCTTGACCAAAGCTGCATTATTGATACTGGAAAGGTGAAATCTAAGCCCCGCCCCTACTTAAAGTGGGGTTTTCACGTTTTTACATAGATAGCTTCTTTTACTCCTCTCTCAAATCATCTATCTTCTCTGTCCAGGATGTGGACTTTGTCATCTTCAAAGGTGTGTCCGTTGTCCTTCAGGTGAAGGTGGACTGCAGAGTTTTGACCTGAAGAGGCAGCTCTCCTGTGTTGTGTTATGTTCTTGTGTAATTGTTGTTTAGTTTCTCTAATGTAAACATCTGGACAGTCCTCCTACACTGGACTGCATAAACGACCCCACTGAGCTTCTGTTTGGGTGTTTTGTCTTCTGGATGGACCAGGTTCTGTCTGAGGGTGTTGTTGGGTTTAAAGTTTACCAGGATGTTGTGTTTGGAGAAGATTCTTCTAAGTTTCTCTGCGACTCTTGCCACGTATGTGGTGATGGTGCCTTTGTGTAAAGGATGTTGTTGTTAGGTTGGTAGCAGAGCTCTCATGTTTAGTGTTAAGTTCAGTGAGATCATGGAATGGGATCAAGAATTTTCTACTGACAGGAAAAAGATCTCAGCTAACATAGCCGTAGATCACAATGGATAAGTCTCTGTGGTGCATTTATTTTACATTTATTTTGCTACCTCTTACTAGAGCTGTCTTTAGTAAGCACAAAATATCTTTGGTTGTACACCTGTGCAATAGCAATAAATTATCTTGATTCCTGTTAAATGTACTTCCTGAATGAGTGACTTTTCAGGCTAAAATAACAAAATGACAAATACAGACAGAAGGACGACTTATTTCTTCTTTTATAATGCATTGCATCACCACCTGGTATCAGAACAGGACTCATTGTTGGAAGATAATCAAAAATCAAACAACTTGGACTCGGATCAGGGACAAAAATGTGGTTGTAACATCTCTAGATATAAGTCAGCTTTAAAAACTAAAACTATTATTCATGAACTACCACTAACACTAATGACACAAATTTATATATTTTTATTATGTTGTTTGAACCCAAGGGTCTCATTATCTGAATTTTCTAACTTATTGGATTGCTCTATAAGTGCCCCTTTTTTTTACTTTGAGCACCCGCCCCGTCAAAGGTCTCTGCACGGCCCTGGTCATCATGTTAATGTTATTTTGCTGTTTGATATTTGAACACATTTACTAAAACAAATACTAACTGATAACTCTTTCTGGTCATTGATTTTATGACCAGTTTTATTACAGATGTTTTTGAGCATGTTACATGAACAGAAAATGAAAAGATGGTAAGGAGACAAGATTATTTATAATGGGTTAAACTTATTTACAGATCAAAACCAGTAGGACCAGTTATGTACAGTTAAAGCAGGATTAACCTGAGTGACTCTTCCTGGATCATTTATTTAAACTGAGTGAGCAGGAAGTCTTTAACAGTGCAGCTGGATCTGCTGCAGGAGGATCCAGACGTGGATGGAGGGCTGGAGCAGACCCGTGGCTGAACGTTTCTGGCCAGAGAAACATCATACAGGACGGTCTGCAGAGAGAGCTTTGGGACGCTTCCTCTCACTGTCCACTCCATTGTCCATCTACAGGGCCTGCTGGGCTGGCTCAGACGATGGCTGTTACGTCTCTGTGAATGACTTGCCTGTAAACAATAGTGGTGGTCTGCTGGTACCTCCTCCAGGACAGAGCAGCACTGACCTCCTCCACACACATCTTCCTCAGACTCATCCTCCAGACCCACAACTTCACCAGCATAGATGCAGATGTGCAGCACAGTGCATGCTGACCTGTAATAGATTAAAAAAGGTTTTTTACAGAAAAATGTAAAACAAAACATAACCTGCAGTACACTGGTTCTGTTCAGTTTAAAGAAAAGCAGCAGGGAATAGTTAAATAAAAACTACAGAGAATTTACATTTTTAAGACAGATCTAATCATTATTAGGCTTAAGTTGAATAAACAAATGCACATTGAAAACACTTCAGTGCTATTTTATTAAGAAGCCTGTTTTTTAAAGCATTTTACCCCCATTTGATGCAAAATAAGAAGTTCTAAGGTCCAGTTTACATCAGAAAACATCCTGCTGCATTCAACATTTATAATGCATTTGGTTTATATTAATTACCTACATGATAATACTCTGTAGAAATGTGTTGTGTACGTTTGACAAGTTCATTCTGTAGCTTAAAACATACATGAAACCATCTAAAGTTAACATGTAAGTCCTGAAAGCTTCTAGAATAAACAAAGTTACTTTACCTGAAAACATTTGTGAACAAACGCTGCTGAAAGACGTGAAGCTGCTGCAGCTCCTTAATAATCCTGCTCGATTTTCGCTAGCTTTAGCATTTTTCCTTTGCGTGTAGCTGCCGCCACGGCTGTGACGGGACCTACGGGTCACCGTAGAGGTGAAGGCTAGACTGTCCGAATTCAGAGTCGCTGGATTCCGGTCTTAGCAGTCTAGCAAGGACTAGACCGGCGAAGACCCGTACTCGTAAGCATCCTGCCCGTAGATTCGGACACACCCATTGTGTCTAACATTGTGTCGCCCAGAGACACGCTCCCATTTACTTTAGACTGATTTTTATGGTTAAATGTTACAAAGCCGTCAATATTTTTCAACAACTGGGCATCATTTAAACATTTCAACAACATTTCGATGGATATTTGCAGAAATTAACAGTTAAACAAAACACATTGTTCTTTTAAAGACACACAACAGGCAAGTTCAAAGTGAGCCACAATGAAGCTGCTTACTGAAAATGTCTTTATTTCTCCTAAAGGGCCCAGTCCACAATACAGCTGGCCAAACCTGCCGATCTGGTCAGCAGAACAAGAGGTTCTCAAGCTAAAGAGGCCAAAACCTACCTTAGAACACACGAGTCTGTCTGACAGTACCACCGATTACAACAGCACCGCACACAAAAAGCAGCTAAGTTATTAAATCTGTGTTAGTCAGTTCTCATCATGATGCTCTCAGCCACCAGCTGCACACATACATGGTACAAGACTCAGCAAAAACACTTATGTCTAAATGCACAAGGACACAAAGCTGCACACAAATATGTTCCAAAATCCATTTTTGCGCTATGAAATAGCATGTATGTGTTCAGCAGAAATGCAGTAACTGGAAATATCAGCACATATTCAGAGTCAGATATCAGAGTTGGGTCTGAATTCTCCATGTTTAGAGGAGTCGGACAGACCACTGGGAGGCAGCACCTGTGTTGTCGGACTTATCAAGCTGTTCAATCCCAATTAAAGCCAGTTTATTCAAAGTCAGTGGATGAAGAGGTGGTATCAGACACCAGCGTCCTCGTGCGGATGAGTCCCAGTTGGTTTAATAACAGATTTCTCAGTTTATGTTATTTAAAGTGGAGAACAAAGCTCAACCAGGAAGCACAAAATCCTAAAAGACAAACATGAAAGAGTAATATCTCTGTGTGTTTGTGTGTGGTTAATCCTCCTGTGTGTCTGGGCTGTAATCCACCTGTGTGTGTGTGTGTGTGTGTGTGTGTGTGTGTGTGTGTGTGTGTGTGTGTGTGTGTGTGCGTGCGCGCCACCTGACGTCAGCATGTGTTGCTGTTTCTCAGGGTGAGTGGGGGAGGAGGGAATAAATGATAACTAGTGTAAAGTCGAGGAAACAGAGCCTCCAGCTCCAAACTGGTCCTGATGTTTCTGATTCCAGCTGCAGGAGCTTCAGCTGCTGAGCCCGTGAGAGTTCTGGATCTGGATCTGATGTCGACCCCTCGGAGCTGCGACAGCTTTGGATGTTGTGTGTGCAGCAGACACCTGTGTGTCCCTCTCGGCAGGAGGAGCTGCAGCCGCCTCTGGCGCTCACTGAAGCCACAGATTGTCTAATTAGATTAAGCGAAGCTTTACTCAGATAATCATTTAGCCGCTCTGGTTTTTGTTTCTTTTCCTTCTAAAGGAACGCTGCCTGAGCCTGTCGTTGTGTTGAAGAACATTCTAACTCTAAACCTCTCCACAGTTTGGTGAGGACAACTGTGGTCTGGAGGCAAGAGAAGGGTAAAGAGCTGCAGCGGGGACTGTTACGCTGCCCACAGTAATTGGACTAAGACCTGCTGCCACTAACAGGAGGCCATGGGGGAATTTTCTGTGAGTATGATGGTTCTTCTTTGTCTAGAAATGGAAGCAATGAAGGTTTTATTCTGATAAATTGGGAATCATGAAGTGATTTCTAATGTTTTACACCTATTGAATATTCAACCAGCAGCATGTCGATTTATTTTCTTGGTTTTATGCTGTAAAAAAACAATTTATCTATGTCAAAGGTGTTTTTCTACGAGTCCACGTATAAACCTAGCCATGTCACGACTTGTGTTCACCTGACTCTACACTCCATGGCTGTTCCCTTGAGCACGCTGCTTCTCCCTTGCTCAGATTAAGCTTGACTGATTGACAGCGCCTGCAGCTGAAGGCACTGAGGTCGCGACCTGCTGCAAACACATTTAGGCTCAGAGAACTTAGCACCGCACCTTGATGGATTTAGGTCCAGGTCAGCCCAGCACCTTTTCTTTTGGAGTTAGAACCTACAGGATGTTGCTTCTAAACTAACAGCTATATTCAAACATTTGAGTCACCTTCTACACCAATGGCGGGTACAGAAAGTATTCAGACCCCTATCGGTTTTTCACTCTGTTATATTGCAGCCTTTTGCTAAAATCGATTAAATTGGTGTTTTCCTCATTACCCACACACCACATCATATTGACAGAAAAATATAATTTTAATAATTTCTGCTGATTAATTAGAAAGACAAACTGAAACATCACATGGTTCTAAGTATTCAGACCCTTTGCTGTGACACTCATGTATCTAACTCAGGTGATTTCCTTTTCTTCTGATCATCCTTGAGATGGTCCTAAACCTTCATTGGTGTCCAGCTGTGTTTGATTTTACTGACTGGACCTGATTAGCAAAGCCGCACACTTGTCTGTATAAGACCTCACAGCTCACAGTGCATGTCAGAGCAAATGAGAATCATGAGGTCAAAGGAACAAGCAAGGCACCGACCTGGACAAGGTTACAAAAACATCTCTGCTGCACTTGAGGTTCCTAAGAGCAGAGCAGAAACCCTTCCTAGAGCAGGACGTCCAGCCAAACTGAGCTACCGGGGGAGGAGAGCCCTGGTGAGCGCGGTAACGAAGAACCCAAACATCACTGTGGCTGAGCTCCAGAGATGCAGTCAGGAGAAAGTTGTAGAAAGTCAACCATCACTGCAGCTCCCCCAGTCAGGACTTTATAGCAGAGTCATTACTTGTCCAATACATTCCACACAGTGAAGCATGGCGGTGGCAGCATCATGTTTTCAGCTGCAGGGACAGGATGACTGGTTGCAATCGAGGGAAAGATGAATGCAGCCAAGTACGTAGATATCCTGGACTAGAACCTTCTCTAGAGTGCTCAAGACCTCAGACTGGGCCGAAAGTTTACCTTCCAACATGAGAATGACCCTAAGCACACAGCTAAAATAACAAAGGAGTGGCCCAGCCACTTAAACCCAATTGAGCATCTCTGGAGAGACCTAAAAAAGGCTGTCCACCAACGTTCACCATCCAGCCTGGCAGAACTGGAGAGGAACTGCAAGGAGGAATAGCAGAAGATCCCCACATCCAGGTGCAAGAAAATTGTTACATCTTTACCAAGAAGACTCGTGGCTAGAGCCCTGCACTGAAGCCCTAAGCCCTCGGGTTGGCCCGGCCCGACGGCCCTCGGGCCGGGCTTTGGGCCAATGACTGTGTAATTACCTCGGACACGAGCCGGGCCGGGCGCTTTTATTTTTAATTGAATTCATAAAAAAATTTGAAACACTAAATCGCTCAAGAAAAGATTCCCATCTGAACATCTGAGCTGGACACTGCTCGGCGCAGCTCACTGTCAGCATGTACTACATAAGGTACACAGCGAGCTGAAGATGTGGAGAGGGGCTTGGAGCGCGTCGCAGAACCAGAGCGCATGCGGGAAGATTCCTCCGACTGAAGCTAGCGTTTTCCAATCCCTGTCTCTCAGAGACTTGTCACTTAGAAAATGTTCCCTGATTATGAAACTTTGGCTGAATAGCGCTTGTTCCTGTCTCCAATGTGGCGACACATCCAGGAGCCTGTCTGAGGAGAATCCCAGAATCTCACATCCTCTTCAGCTCAGGAAGCACCTATATGATTATGCAGAAGCATGATGCATCAACCCGATCTCACAGTAAGACCGGGTTGGAACTGTTCAAGTTTACACAGACAATCTTTACATTTAGAATTGGAATACAGATGTAAAATTAATGCAGTAAAATATAAAGCATTTTATTTAAATATCCATTCATTATTTTGTAAGCACAGAGAGCCGCATCAGATGGATGGAAGAGCCGCATGCGGCTCCAGAGCCGCGGATTGCCGACCCCTGACGGAAACGCAGCAGTAGAGCCCTGCGCAGGACTGTTTTCCCGCTCCTGCCCGCTCCCGCTGAATTTCTGACAATTACCGCCCGCAACCGCAATGTGCGTATTACACTCCCGCCCGCACCTGCAGCGTGCATGTCTACTCCCGCCCACAACCGCAAAACTCGGAGAAATTATTACCTCACAATAAAAGAGATGTATTGAGTTTGCGTCCTCTCTGGTCCTGGAGAAAACATGTCACAACCCGCGGCTCTTCCATCCATCTGAGGCGGCTCTCTGTGCTTGCAAAATAATGAATGGATATTTAAGTAAAATGCTTTATATTTTACTGAATTAATTTTACATCTGTAAGTCAATTCTATGTAAAGATTGTCTGCGTAAACCTGAACAGGTCCAACCCGGTCTTACTGTGAGACCGGGTTGACGGGTCACGCTTGTGCGTAATCATAGGCGTTTTATGAGCTGAAGAGGATGTGAGATTCTGGGCTTCTCCTCAGACGGCTCCTGGATGTGTTGCCACATTGGAGACAGGAACAAGCGCTATTCAGCCAATTCTGAGTTCACGAGACTGGAGAAATTCATGGAAAAGTGGTCCAAGTGATCATCAACGTGGATGTTAAAATCACCCACAATCACCAGTCTGGACAGCTTCACAGTGGAGGATAGAAAGTCACTAAACTCCTGGAGGAAAGAACTGTTTGGACCAGGTGGACGAGAGACCACAGAACAGTAGAACGGGTCCTTACGACCGACTTTGATCAGCTGCAGGGAACTCCAAGGGATTCCCTGGCCGGCCGAGAGACATTCCTTCTGTCCTGGGTCTTCATTTAGGTCTCCTCCTGGTTTGACATGCCCAGAGAACCTCACCAGGGAGAACGCTGCTTCCTGTAAGTTAGTAAACAGCACCATCTTTGCTGCTTCAAAAAGTATAGAGATTCTTAGCGGCAGACACAAAACAGATTAAAGAATGCACCGTAGAAAAAGTATGTAAATCTGAACGTTTATTCACCTGTGACTGAAGCAGTACAAAGAAATGGAGCAAGCGTTTTATTCGTGGATGGAAAAGACAAAAAACGTGGGTTCAGAGGTGCCGATCGCACAAAGAGGTGGGGGGGCGGTGTTACACACACACACACACACACACACACACACACACACACACACACACACACACACACACACACACACACACACACACACACACACACACACACACACACACAGTTGAGAGCTAGAGGTGTATCAAATGTCCCACAGGCACTTTTTAATTATATATTCATAATAAATGTAAAATTATTTAAATTTCATCTAGCGGTGGCCATATCGTATATTTCATATTTCTTGGCCAGAGAAAAAAAGCTATCATGTTAAGCTAAATGTATGATGATGTAATTGCATCTACTGAAGATCACATGGGTCATGCACCGTGGAGTTATTAGTTATTAAGGCAAACATGGCTGGAGTCTAACAGTATTGACTCATATCAGCGATTAAACTATAATGACTCAGAGTCTCTGGTTGCTCTTTTATGAGTATTATTTCCAGGCTACTGTCGCCGTAACCCACGCCTTACAAACTCTTAACTTGTTCAACAGAATCGTTCGTAATGGAGTATTTACTAGCACAGCAAACTACAGCGGAAAAAAACAGAACCGAAGCAACATTTCTCACTCGCCTTCAAAATAAAATGTTAACCCTATAGTTTACTATTCAAACCCTTACAATATGTTTGAGATAATTTGGCCACTCATGCTATCCGTAGATGTTTCCCATGGGAGGGAGGGGTTTGGCTCGTCTCCGCACAAGCAGGATGGAAAAACAGAACTCTGTTGGTGTTGAAAGTCCCCAATTAATTATAAACCAGGATGCCAAATGCAAAGTTTAGAGCAGCACATTTATCCAGACGCTCTCAGATTGAGCAAACTTGTAAGAATACACGTAATAGCTGCTTAGAGATGGAGCAACATGTTGCTAGCAGAGCAGCTAATTGCTAGCATAGCAGTTTGACTCGTTATATCGATATAAAGATGCAAAGTCATCTTATATCTTGTTTAAAAACTATACCGATATTTAAAAAATATCGATATATCGCCCAGCCCCACCAGGAGCTAATGCTAAAAATGGCCAACTGACACTAAATAAGCCATGAAGTAGTAAGATCCTAACTGTTGGACTAACACATTTTATAACAGGGGTGGGGAACCCTGGTCCATTGAGGGCCACTATCCAGCACATTTTAGTTTTAACTCCGCTTCAACACACCTGATTTCAATCGGCAGGTGAGTAACAGGCTTCTGCAGAGCCTGATGAGTTGCTGAACAGGTGAGTCAACCAGTGAATTAGACGTGTTGGAGCAAAGACCTGCAGGATACCAGCAATCGAGGACCAGGGTTCCCCATGCCTGTTTTATAACATACAAGTCCAGTAGCAACAAAGCCAGGTCACCATCAGTCTGTGATTTCGTAGCCTTCTTCAGCTCCCTTAAACTTGTGTATGTCCCACGGATGTTCACTCTGATTTTAGCTGTTTGCTTCGCCTCCAAAACATCTTACTCTTCCAGGCGCCATTGTGATGCAGACAAAATAAGCAACTCTTCTTCTTCTTGTGCAATCAGCAAACTGATAAAGCTAACTGCTAGCCTTTATATGAGCTATCGGCACAGTAAACAGCTGTAAACCTGGTACAGACCTCCCACTAGTGGGCCATTCCCATCTGTACCGGGTCGGCCCGGGCCGGGTAGCGTAGGTTGTTTACATATCTGGGTGGCCTGGTATTTTTCCGGGCCAACCAAGGCTCATTCTCAGCCCTCTTCTCGAGGGGGTCTGCTTCAGGCCGACCAGGGTCAACACACCCAATGCTGACAGCAAATTCACACCTTCCATTAGAGCAAGCCTCTGATTGGTGGGTAGAATCAGCCCACATGGGCTTAAGGCAAGGATGTGTGGAATCAACCGGGCCAGGCTGAGGCCGACTGGGGCTACCCGGCTCGGGCCGACCCGGTACAGATGGGAATGGCCCATAGCATTCCTACCTGAATGCATATGACCCTCTTTACACACTATCACGCCACACCTTCAATATCACAGGCTGAAGAATAACCCCCTGCCCCCCCCCCCACCCTATGGCAAAAAGACCAAAAGAAAAAAATGGTCCTCACAGACCCCCTCCCCCAGTTTTATTCTGCGATAAAACTGTTGGGCAAAAACCTTGTTTGAACCTCAAAAACTTCAGGAAATGCAGAAAATGTCTTACTTGTACTATGATTAAACCTGTGTGGTCTTTGCAAGTCACACGCTCCTTTTGAAACCATTTCCCTGAAAAGTGATCTATAAAGTATTATATATATGTTAACTAGCAAAGTCATATCCAAACTAACCATAGGTTAAAACATCACTGAACAATGCCATCTGAGTCACAGCCAGTTAGGAGATATTTAAAACCACTGCTCAAAGGCACTGTGGACTTTGAGCAGATGTTAGTGATATTGACAAAAACACCTGGTAAAGTGTAAAATATTAGCCTTTGTGAAAATATTGAGTAAGAAGTTGGTTAATCAATGCTTTATTATCTAACTGGGCCATGTATTTAATCTGATGTCTCTGTGTTGTTCTAAATGTGGTAAAATGGTAAATGGCCTGTTTTCATGTAGCGCCTTTAGGGTTCTTCAACCCCCAAAGGTGCTTGACAATGCAAATCTAAGCACATTGTGCCCAGGGGTCCCTGCAATGACAATCCAACCCTGCCTCAGATCATTAGTGTTTTTCTTTGCTATTAGAATGACGTTTGTTATCCCAATATTTGTGCTTTCAAAATGAGCCACACAGTCTCTTTTCATAAAAAAAGCATTAGTTAAGACATTTTTATTTTTATTGTTCATTTTTTGAATCCAACAAATAACTTTAAAACGATCTTTCAGTGCTTACAAAACGGTGAACAGTGAAACTACAAAATCTAGATGCAGAAGTTGCTTTGCTAATGGGTGGGTTTAGTGAAAGAGATTATAACCAGACCATAACCTTTTAAAAGAACTGCTACAAATGTGTACCTTTTACTACTAAGGTACTTATGTGTACCTTTTACTACTAAGGTACGTATATGTACCTTTCAGACAACAAAAAATGGTAGATAGATACCTGAGGTCCAATGATATTCCTTAGGCTGAGGTAATGTCATTTTTGTCCCTTGGGGCACAGCAATACCCTTTCCATACCCGTATTTTTGACTGTGTTCAGTCGTCCTTTATTTAAATAAAGGACTCTGGTAACGCAACAGATCACTGTTATTACTATTAGCAGCTAAAAGGGAGCAAAGCATGACTTTCATAAGAAAGTTCATCAATAGATTCAAAACAATTCTAGTAAAAAATATTTTTAGGCTTGTTTGTACAAATGTTATTTGTTGATCTGTTAACACATTTTTACAGCTTCCCTTCTAGGTTCTGCTTTATTTTCACAAAACAAATCTGCTTTATTACTCTCTCAACAGTCACAGAGTCCCTGTCAGGCACGATCTGCCACTCAGGCCTGCCACTGAGGCTGCATTTATTGAAACGGGTCCGTCGAGCTCCTGACGAAGAAGACATGGCCAAAAACTCGTTTCGTGGCTCCAAGTTTAGACGAAACACCGAGGCTAACCATGAACCGGAGTTCAGCTGCTCTCTGCAGGAGCTGGGCTCCCTCATGGCGCTACGAGGAGAGGAGGCAATAACCAGGATTCACGAAAGCTTTGGAGATGTCAGTGGACTGTGTGTGAGGCTGAGGACATCACCTGTAGACGGTAAAGCTATCTGAAAGATTCCCTTTTGCAACCATTTGGTTTCAGTGACACTGAGCATGAAACCTTGAGCTCAGTAACTTTTCTTTAGCTGATGATTGCAAAGCAGTTGGTTAAATTGTGAGGAAACAGAAACCATGCTTGAGTTTTATTAACCATTAGTAAACAATCTCCATTTGTTCCACCGTTGGCATTGAGACAAAATTAATTCTCTCACTCAAAGACTCTATACGTGTCTAACAAATGGATGACTGGCTTGTTCTGAACAAACAGGTCAGCCTTTATGCCACATGACCTGATCCAACCCAACCACAATCCCTCCTTTGGATGGAAGCTTGTATGAAGTCACATGGCCTGTAATAACTGTTAGTTGCAATGATGTAGCGTTGAAAATGTATCCATGGGCGTATTCTTTGTCTTGCCCAAACAGCTGCATACAATGAGGTGACTCACAGCCCCCCACCCCCAGGTGTGGGCATTATTAGACCAACAGAGGACATGTTAAGGCTGATTGTGTTCTCTAGTTTGGCTTAAGGGACTGTTGAACGTGTGAAGGTCAAAGTCAACTGTGATCTGAAACCTCCGTTGATCCTGCTCTAGATCCTTTATCGTTGGTAAACAGTGTTTAGTTTTTTTATGACGACATGATGAAGGGTCCAGAGTTAAGACAATAGTTATTTATGCACAGCTCCCTTCCTTTAGGAATGTGGTAGTGGGCTGCAGCCAGCAAGGCCCGCAGAATTACTACAGCTTAAACTGTGTGTGTTCAATTAAATAGTATTTGTTTATTTTGAATATTTTTTATTTTCTCTTTTTGGAAACATTTCTCTTGGCTATGGCGCAACTTCAACCTGGGGTCTGTGACCCCCAAGGGGGTCCTCACAATTTAGTCAGTGCTGAGATTGTGACGTACTAAAATTATATTTGTAAAAATGACATTTATAAAATATCAGTAGCACATCAATTAGTATAATCCAATGTCTGTGTAAGAGTTACAACTGTATGTCTGTATAAACATTGTAATTGATCACGTGTTTCTGTGGGTAGGAGTTGGGGTTGGGGGTTCCTGGATTGTCTTTGATGCAGGAAAGGGAACCTTGTGGAAAAAAGGATGGGAACCACATGTCTGTGGATTTCATTGTTTTTTACAATCAGATGTCAGCTTGTGTTGTTGCTGGGGGGACGACCCTAATCTGCCTAATGCCTTCAGAATCAGTAGGGCAGGCTCTTGTTAGTTAGTGTTTTTATCCAATCAGCTTTCAGATTTGCCTCACTGGGCCAGCTAGCTGGCTCACAGTGACGTCAGGGTTTTTTGTTCGCTGATTTGATCTAGTTGTGCTAGCAATGTACGTCCTCAGCAATCTAAAGAGAAATAAAATGGCCTGTATTTTATATAGCACCTTCTAGAGTCTTGGAACCCCCCAAGGTGCTTTACAACACAGTCAATCACCCATTCACACCCTGGTGGTGATGAGCAACAATTGTAGCCACAGCTGCCCTATGGTGCACTGACAGAGGCGGGTCTGATGTACACAGGCGCCACTGGTTTCTACAACCACCACCAGCAGGCGAGGTTGATTAAGTGTCTTGCCCAAGGACACAACGACAGTGACAGACTGAGTGGGGCCTGAACCGGCAACCTTCTGATTACGGGGCGAGCACTTAACTCCTGTACCACCATTGCCCCAAATAAAGTTGGTCTAAGAAAATGTTAAAATTCCTTTTTCAAGGTGGTTTTAAGATAAGCTTTGCAACATTGTTGGCTTGTAATTGTAACATCGTGGTGGTGAATTTATTTGTAAGCTAATACTGAGGGCCCAGGTAGCAAACCCTGCCACTGAGTCACACCATAGGTGAGATTCCTAATCTGTTGTGTTAACCCTCTGGAGGCAGGCGTTGCAGATTAGCAACGTTAAAACCTACCTACCTGGTTACTCCACATATGTATTTCATGAGCATTTTTTTTTTTACTCAGGAGCACCCCTGAAGGACTTAGTTGTTCATCTTTTTATCAAAACGTATTTTAAGGCTTAGAGGGTTAAGTTATTAACTCTAAACATCAACAACTGAGCTGTACTTCAGTAGAATAAAAACAACAATAGGGAACATCTAACACTTACAAAAAAATCAAAAGTGTCCTGTCCTGGCAAGGAAAGTCAGAACTTCGGCAGGTGAAATAATTCTAGATAAGAAAGTAGTTTATCGTAAATCCTCTAATGTTAGCCGGTATTTAATTAACTGCTGGGTATCATATTTTGGCCGGTGTCGGACTCGGCGGAGGTGAATAATGGCCGTTTTTTTTATTGTGGCCGGGTGGAATGTGGTAACGAGCAAGTACGGGGCGCGGTTGTGTCATCCATCTCACTTTTGATTTGCCAGTGATAGACCGCGAGGGTAACTTTAACCGTGCGGAGACAAAAAGGAGGCGAAAATTTGATATCAAGTTCAAAGAGAACGTGCTGATTATGCTGCAGAACACTCTGGGGAGCAGTAGCAGAGGTTGTATGAACTAGTCACTAGTCGACTTCACTGCTCTATAGTGACTTGTTATGCCTGTCATCGACTAGTCGCTGTCACGTGATAATGACTGGCAAGATGCAGTCCACGCAAAAGACAGCAGCCTGCTGTCAGCAGGTGACAAGCTCCTGCGCGTCGGGGGCAACGCGCTGTGCCAGAGCGTCGGTACTGACACCCGCCGTAAAACGGACATTTAACCAAATTGTGACGTTTACCCTCTTGCAATTTAACCTTTCCCTCACCCCATCCTAACCTTAACCAGCTTGCACATGCAAAGCTCTGATTGTTGACGAGCTCCAGACTTCTGTGTCCTGAGCACGGCCACAGTAACATTATCAATTCAGGTGTCGCCACCTCAAAAACTAATTTAACACGCGATCGTTCATGTCGGCTCATTTCCTTTTATATTTTCTGTCTTTTATTCTTTTATTTGTGCCTGATGCATTTTGCTGCTGTGGATCGGGGCGCGTCACCTGTTTTGTCCTCGGTGACTCACCTAACTGATGTGGCCGGCGAGCACACCGCTGTTTTTGCGGTCGGTAGATCTTTTAGAACTGCAGTTCAAAGGTAACTCATAAGGTGAATATATATGCACCCAGGTAGCAGTTTTTCTTTAGGATTGAGAGGAGATGCAGGAAGATAATAAACAGGCAGGACAGAAAAATTGTCAAATAAAAACAAGTTAGTTTTTGTACCTGGTGGTTGCAACCAACAGACACCACTGAAGGTAATCAGAAGTGAGGAACAGAAAATGAAATAATTATTTTAATGTTTAGAGCAGCAGGAACTCCGAGAGGCTGCAGGCGCATCAGTGAGTTTGCGGCCGCTGCACAGGGGGAGGGGGGAGAGGGGTGAAGCAGAAACTACCGTTGTTAAAAGAAATGTGTTTAACTTTGAAAATGTGGGCGCAAATTTAATTATCAAAAACTCCAGCGAACCATTAGTTCATTTTGCTCAAATAGAAATTGAGGCCTGCCTCTAATTCTGGTCCTCCTTCCAATAAAGGCCTGGAGCTTGATGAGCTTGAGTCAAATACAGGCCCAGGCCTGTATTAGAGGATTTACGGTATTCATTTTTCCTCTGAGACCAGGGCTGGTGTTTGACGTGAGGTATACATATATAACCCCCCCCACCCCCCCCACCCCCCACCCCCCCCCCGGATCTCTAAAGGAGAGCCCTGGGAAAGTCATTTCAGCTGCTTGTATCTGCAATCATGACCACAGTCCAGAAAGGTGCAGTTCTGGGAACACCTAAGATAAGCCCCCTTCAGACAGGCCATGAAAAACGGAAATGTTGGTTGATGTTTACCAATATCCGGGTACAGCCTCCCCCCCCCCCCCCCCCCCCCCCCCCCCCCCCCGACATCTGGAACTTTTCCCTGCTGTGTGAAGGCAGCCGAAAGGACAAGTTCAGGTACAAAAGTGGTGTGTCTGAAAACACAATTCTGGTTAAAAACCGGACTGAATTGTCCACACATATTCCAGAATGTCAATCTGAAAAGGGTTATACTGTGCAGAGCCCTCAAGCTCCCAGATCTCTGATAAAGGACCCGAACTTAGTAGGATGAGTTCACTCCCGGAGGGTGAGATGGGAATTTTGTTTTTTAACACAAACACAAAGAGCTATTCTGTGCTAGAAAGCAGCCTCATGACCGTGGGATTGCAGTGGAGTTTCACAAAGTCATTTAAACCAAAACAGTACAATAGCATTCATAGCCTTGTGATACCCAGGATGGACATGGTCAGTCCTTGGAGCTTTGCCACTGTGAAGCGGTCTGGGTACCACAACAACAGCTACTCCAGAGACTGATCCATACATAAGTCCCCCAGCTCACGTTCAATACTGGAGTAAGTGTAGGTTGAATGAGGAGCTCCTCAAATGATGGCTTCCACCCCCCAACAGCCAAAACATCTCCCCCTCCTAACTATAAACAGTCAGAGTGAGTTGCCACATTCCTTTGCTATACACCATACAGCTTGTCAGAACATCTTGCTGATCGATATTCTTCCAAGGCCTTGCCAAACTTCTCAAATGCCCAACCTTTACCCTCAACAGCTGCCACTGCTGCTCACCGCTTGGCCCTCCAGTCGTTTTCAGCTGCTTCTGCAAACCCACATACCAACCGGGCCCTGTAGTACTCCTTCTGCCTCCCCTAACCTCTGCACAGTAAAATGAGCTGTGTGAATCCAACATTTAAAGAGTCGATTTCAACACAACCCCCAAAATAAACATGCATAAACATCCCCAAAATAGGGCAAACTAACTAAAAACATGACTACCCACAATGCACCTTGCCCTCTGCAACTGAAGAAGGAGAGGAAGAAGAAGGCGGAGCTTACTAATGTACTTTTTACACTGCTTCGGAGTAATTTTCATCAACACCGGAGTATAGAGTAATAGTAACTCCAAAAGAGTACATTTTCTTTAACACCTGACAGGTCACACTACAAAGTGTCATTAAAAAAATTCTGTTTTAACTCTGAAAA